TTGTTTGCTCCTGTGGTATTAATCACGACTATGGTTGGTGTTTGGTTCCACACCAACCTTTCCTGAGCCCTGAGCCTTGCCCACATAGTGAGTGAAGCTACACCTGTGTAGCCCAGGACTCAGCACTTATCACGGCTAGCCTGGAAAGGATGAGCAGCCTGTTGGTGACTTGCCACTGACACATCCCATCTCTCCAATGACGTCCACCTGGAAATTCTGGGGTGGCCCAGTTCTGCTCCGCATCAGAAATCCTTGCCACTGCTCTGCGCAGTGTCTGCGTGCACTGGCTCTCCCCAACCTCTGGTCTCCTTCATCTCAGTCTTTTCTAGGTGGACTCCAAGATGCAGACCACGATGGCATGAGGACTGTGAACAGATGATCTTGCCTGATACCTTTCCCAGCTTCCCACATTCACCAATAGTAAGGCTACCTCCTGCCAGGAAACACCAGTAGTGCCTGACTCTGTGGTCAGCATTTCTCAGCCTGTCCTTGCCATTCCTTCCAACCTGGTTTCCGTTCTGGTGCCCAGAATGTTGATTTATTTTAAAAGAGCATCACCAGTTTGGTCTCCATTGCTCCACAAATTAACAATAACTGGGTCCAACCCAGCAGTAGATATTCCCACTCCTCCTCACCCCTTGCTGTTTCCTCCAGCAAGCTTTTCTCTGGGTTTAAGGTGTAGTACGAAGCAGAAATGCAAGAGTAGATAGATCAATTTGCAGAAAGCCAGTAATCACAACTTCCTTTTTTAGGGTGAATCTTTACTGCCACAGTAAGTCTTGCAAAGGGAAAAAATTGGGACCCACAGGTCTTTCTCTCCTCCTAGGTCCATGGAACTGTCGACACACTGTGAAATGACAAGGCAGCCACATACCTCCTTCCCAGCAGAAGGAGACATTTCAGGGTGCCCCTCTCCTTTCTCCAGTCCTGAAATCCATGCATTTTCCATTGCATTGGCTTCAAAACTTAGCATTTTCTCTCCTCCTAATCCTTTCAGTGTCCTGAGCAACACAGCTACATAACACCTTGAGGTATTAATTGAAGCAATTTTGTTCCCGGCGCTTTCCTTTTCTGGCCTCATCAAAGCAGGTAGCTTGCACTTTGATTCACTGCCCCAGGGCAGGTCCATGGCCCAGTATGAAACAGGAAGCCTGCTTGATTTTCTGGTTTGTTTCCTTAACTGAACCCACTGAGGAGTCTGAGTGAAAGAACAGAGGAACTTGGAGAAGTAGATAGTGCACGAGGGGACTCTCCTAGGTTGAGCAAGAAAAAGGAGTTGCTGTGGGTGCCCAGGGCAGAGGAAAACTGCCTGGTCCTGTTCTGTGTCAGTGCCTTAGGGAACAAAGACTCCAAGGAGAGATGTCTCTGTAGATGCCCAAGGGGCAGGACCCTCACTGCACAGGATGGGTTTCATCAAATTTACCTAAGTCCCCCATGACATGGAATCAGGGGACACCATGGATTTACATAATTAAGATCCCAGAAGCAAACACAGAAGACTTAAAATCAGAAGCCTTTCTTTTTCACAGACACATTACATGCCCTTCCCACAGCCAGGCTTTGCTGCAGTCTGAAGGGTGAAGGTGACTGAGGGACAGAGATGAGATACGCCACAGTTTGGACAATGGGACAGTACTCAGAGTCCTATGTCGAGCTGGTCATCAGAGATTAAAGGGCTATTTCTACTAGAGTGGAGTTCATTGAAATGATATGCATTCATTGGGTTAAACCATTTTCCTGGCTTTTAAAATATATTCTGCTCCAAAATCTTATCCCTTGAATATCCGTGAGGCACAACTGCTGGCACATGGCATTGCTCCCACGCCCAGCTGCAGCCACAAGCTCCCTTTGTACTCCTCCCAACTGGGCAGAAGACATCTTCAGACAGACCTCATGATTCGCTAAGGATTACTGTGTTAAATATTTAGCTTCTTATTTTTTTATGTCACAGAGATCCCCTGAATCAAATGATCCTCAAACTAAATCTTGTCCCTGTACTCAGTTAACAGTGTCCCCAGAGGACTGGCTCAGTTGTCCAAATCCTCCCTCCTCCCCTACCGAGGATGGATTCCTTGGGGGTTGTATGAGCAATGCCTCCCAGCTCTCTCCTCTCCTTTCTTCTTCCCCCAGAACCAAAACTTTATCATGCCTTGACTAATCTTTGCCAATACTGCCTTAATTAATGCGCTGTGGCAGACCTTTGGTGAGCAATTAAAGGCATTTTTAACAATAAGAGGGCTGGGGTATAATTCAGCCAGAGAGAATTGGCCTGGCATGTGCAAGAATCTGGGTTCAAACCCAGAACCATAAAAAAATGAGGTGAACAACCATACACCTTGTCTTTTGTTTTCCACATTTAGAATTTCCAGATTAGACTCTAATATTGAGTATTAAAGTACATTCTCTGGAAAGAACTCTAAATTAAATATGAAATTTCACTGTAGTATTTTCTACCATATATGTATTATCTTTTCATATAACAGAATTTAGACATTGTTTTGGGTAAATGTTTGAATTAAACCAGGAGACATGTATTGCTTAGCCTGACAACCAGTCATTCAGCTTCCATTCAGCTTGGAAAACCAACCAAGGTCACTGACTGCTATCTAATAAAGGCAAAAGTTCTCTCTAATTAATGCAACAATCACAGTATTGCAAAAATGCTCTCTAGGAAAAAAAAAAAAGCTGATGTGATGTTAGAATTCAGATAGCTATTTTTCTTGGTGAAATTGCATTTGATCTGACAATTTGCCAAAAATCTGTTCCTTTTCCAGCGATACAGCAAGGAGTTTGTTTTAGTGGATATAAATTCTTCAGATTATTTCAGAAATGTGACAATGCCTGGCTTTGGTGATTAGTGACAGGAAACTTGAACATGCTAAGTTGTGAGAGCCTATCAAATATGACATTGCCATCAGGCAAATATGGATTGCACTGCAAATTCTCCAGGCCAGCATCCTCCAAGGGAAAGGACACTGGCCTTCTCATGACAAAGGGCAAGGAAGAAAGCAGCCACCTCCCTGAAAAGCGCCCTCTTCTCTTCCAGGCATGGATGTAACAGAAGACATTTGCAATGTTCATGAGGATAAAGAAGTAATCTCCACATTTTCCAAATGATTCTTTACCTTTAATTCATGCTGTATCTGTGCTCTTGAAAGAAGGGGACAGAGTATACTTTCTTGAAATTCATACAGATGATCTTTAGAGTCAAACATCTGTTGATTGTTCATAGTTACAATCGTGTGAGCTTCTCCGTTGCCCATCCCCCAGCCTGGGCTGGCCCCCTCATGGTCCTGATGGAACAGATACATTATCTGTGATTTCATTGGCTGTAGCACTGGAGCTACCGATGCTTCATAGGCTGCACTTCAGATGTGCTGCTCCGTGCCAGCCACTCCCTCCATGGAACCTCTGCCCTGCGTATCTACCGTATCTACCATCTGTGGCTGCTGATGCATTCCAACCAGTTCTACCCCAGCACCTCCCTTTCTATCTGTGCAATTAACTCCTGGTTTTTGCAGCCGATGGCTGAGAATAGCCTTCTGTGCTTTTGTTTCACCCTGTGCTACTTGAAGCAGAACTCATTATCTTAAGGTTTATCATCTAAAACTTGCCGATATATGTTGGCTGTGCATTTGTTTGCCTAAACTAAGTATTTTAGGCCGCGGGGCATCTGCTGAGTAAGTGCTTTCATGTGGAGAAGTTCTTCTGCAGGCTTCCATTCCCGTAGCAAAACTAGGTCTTTTGAAAATAAGCAATAAAGATCGCGATGACACTAGAGATATTGTGATTCATCTTCACCCTCATTTCACAGCTCTCTCTTCCCTGGTTTCAGCATTACTTTATAACTTTTCAATTCAAACACCTCCTTAGACTTTGTCAGAGTGTCACAGGTTGCTAAGACTGGGAGAATAATGACCCTGGTCAAAAAGGTGACAGGCTCTAAGAAAAGTGCATATAAATCAAGCCAAGCATTTTGTTTTTATAAAATATATAAGCAACTTGATTGATAGACAACTGATGGCTAGATACAGATTTATTTGCACCAGCAAAACTGCAAGGGTATATAGCAAAATTTTAGCAGTTTTATCACTAAGACATATATCACCAGTGGTTTTGGTTATCTTATTTATACTTCTCTTCTTTTTTATATTTTTTGTGATGAGAAACTACAATTTACATTAAAACTGAATTGGTCTAAGTGGTTTTGGAAATCAAGAGACTAAAGACTCCAGTGTGGAAAGTTTTAGGCCCTAAAATCTAGGTCCAGAAGTAGACATCACCATCTCTATACTCTTCTGCTGGGCAGACTACTCATAAGCCAGGCCAGAGCTGAGTAAATGTAGGTTTGGGGACCTCCCCCCATGAGAAAGTGACAGAATTGTGTGCACATTGGCAGAAAAGGCACTGAAATTATTTTTTAAGACAAGCTACCACACACTGCCAGGCAAAATCTCAGTGTTTGCTTTTACCTGATTCTTCAGAGGAACTCTGGGGAGAAAGTCATACCTCGAAAAATACCATGCTATATGAAAGAAGACAGTTGCAAGATTCCATACCCTGTCTGATCCAATTTATATGAAATGCTCAGCATATGCGAATCCACAGAGACAGCAAGTAGATTAGTAATAATTTAGGAATGGATATAGGTTAGGGAGGCTTGGAGTGTGATAGTTAAAGCACACCAGGCTTCTTTTAGAGGCAGTGAAAGTGTTCTACAGTTGAATGCAATGACTCCTGTATATCCTTATGAATATACTAAGGACCATTGAATGATGCATTTAAGTGGATGAAGGGTGTAGTAGGTAAATTATTTCTTGATAATTCTTTTTGAAAGTTTTTTAAATTTCTCAAAAAAAATATGAAAGAGAGGAATATAAGTTCCTGGACATGTCCTTTACTCTGCGGTTAGGGCAAAGTGGCGCAGTGGCTGGAGTCATGCAAGTGTGGTCCTCTGAAGAGTCATATTTGCTGCCCTTAGAAACACAGAAAGAGGGGGCTCGAGAACCGAGCGGAGCTGGTTGAGCCTTCAAAGTCCTAAAACGCGCGGCCGTGGGTTCGGGGTTTATTGATTGAATTCCGCCGGCGCGGGAGCCTCTGCAGAGAGAGAGTGCGAGAGATGGAAATGGACAAACGGATTCATTTAGAGCTGCGGAACAGGACGCCCTCTGATGTGAAAGAACTCGTCCTGGACAACTGTCGGTCGAACGATGGCAAAATCGAAGGCCTCACAGATGAGTTCGAAGAACTGGAATTCTTAAGTACAATCAACACTGGCCTCACCTCAGTCGCGAACTTACCAAAGTTAAACAAACTCAAGAAGCTTGAACTAAGCGATAACAGAATCTCAGGGGGCCTGGAAGTATTGGCAGAAAAGTGTCCGAATCTTACGCATCTAAATTTAAGTGGCAACAAAATTAAAGACCTCAGCACAATAGAGCCCCTGAAGAAGTTAGAAAACCTCAAGAGCTTAGACCTTTTCAACTGCGAGGTGACCAACCTGAA